GGGAAAGGCTCATGGAATATTAGGATGTGATTGCAACTGCCAACATAGCCTCACTAGTGCCCCTGAACAATTTGGTGGCCTTCTACAGTGGGGTTATGGCACTACTGGATAAGGGGAGAGCGAATGGTTTTATCTACCTGGACTTGTGCAAAGATTTGATGCTGTTCCAAACAACATCCTTCTCCCTACACTGGCGAGGTGTTTGTTTGATGGATGGATCACTTGGTGGATATGGAATTGGCAGGATGATTGTACTCAAAGGTTTGTAATTAACGGCTCAATATCCAAGTGACAAGTTGTGTTTCTTGATGCAAAGCTAAATGTGATCCAGCGATGTGTGCTTCCAGCTTTTAGGGTGACAACATAAGAAAGACATGGATCTGTTGGATTAAGTCTGGAGGAGGCCCACGAAGATGATCAGATGGCTGGAGCACTGGTCCTATGAGGAAACCCTGAGAGAGTTGGGGTTCTTCCGCCTGGAGAGGAGGAGGCTGAAGGAGGCTTTAAATTAGCCTTCCTAAAGGAGGAGTACAAGTTCCTGTATTGATAGGACAAGTGGTAACAGCTATAAAATGAAAGAGGATTGATATAGATGAGCTATTAGGAAGAACTTCTTCCCTATGAGTTTGGTGAGGCACTTGAACAGGTTGTACAGGGAAGTGGCTTGATGTCCCACACATCGCCAGGTTGATGGGGCTTTGAGCAAATGTTCTGTCATTTGTTACTTGCAAGAGGAGAGATCCAGCGACTTCAGTACAAGCTCTGTTAAGGCACAGGAGTGGGCTGTCATCTGCTGTGTTGTGTTGCACAAATCCTTTGGTAAAATTCGACTTCTTGTAAGCAAGAAACCTGCAGGCAGCACCCACTTGATACTGGTTAGAAAGCCACATGAGAGCAATGAGTCCACATGGGGAACTTCTTTTCCTGGGACAGTGGAAATGAACAGATACAGCTTTCTGTCAGGAAAGCAATAAACTGGCTTGAAGGGCTGAAGGGTGATGGTACACTCTTTCCCCTGAGCTGGGTCTCCCTAGCATGAAGTGCGTGGCTCGAGTCCTCTGTGAAGCTACTTTACTCAGGGTTCTCCACATCCCAAGGGACATAGGATTATGGATGCTAATCTCCTCCAATACAGACAGCTGTAACCGCCCACGGCGCGAGAATGGGCGAGCGCCCGGCAGCTGGGTGTGTGCGCAGAGGTCCGTGTGACCGGGCAGACGGCAGAGCGGGCGGAGGGCGCAGT